GCCCAGAGCAGCATCCAATTCCAACCCTCCCCATAGCCATGCTCATCAGCACCCCGATCCCATCCTTCCTCTCAATGCTCCCCTTCAGATCAGCACCCCACTTCTCACCCCACTGCTACCCCTAGCAGCACCCCACTTCTCACCCCGCCACTGCTACCCATACCAACGTCCCGCTCTTCCCAATGGCCACCCAGAGCAGCATCCCGATCCCATCCGTCCCCATTACCATTCCAATCATCACCCCATTTCCCTCGATGCTCACCCCCAGAGCAGCACCCCACTTCTCACTCCACTGCTACCCATAGCAGCATCCCCCTTCTCACCCCACCACCATCCATAGCAACATCCCACTTTTCCCAACAGCCACCCAGAGCAGCACCCCGATCCCATCCCTCCCCATGCCCATGCCAGTCAGCGCCCCATTTCCCATCCTTCCTCTCAATGCTCACTCCCATAGCAGCATCCCACTTTTTACCCCACCACTGCCATCCACAGCAGCACCCCATTTCTCACCCTGCCAATGCTACCCATAGCAACACCTCACTCCTCCCAACAGCCACCCAGAGCAGCACCCTGACCTCATCCCACCCCACTGCCATTCTGATCAGTGCCCCATTTCCCATCCTTCCTCTCGATGCCCACCCCCAGCGTAAGACCCCACTTCTCATCCCACTGCTACCCATAGCAGTACCTCGCTCCTGACCCCACTGCTACCCAAATCAACACCCCGCTTCTGACCCCACTGCTACCCAAATCAACACCCTGCTTCTGACCCCACTGCTACCCACAGCAGCACCCCACTTCTCACCCTATTGCTACCCACAGCAGCACCCCACTTCTCACCCCACTGCTGCCCATAGCAACACCCCACTCCTCCCAACGGCCACCCAGAGCAGCACCCCGCTCCCCCCCCTCCCCACGGCCGCCCCAAGCGGCTCCCCACTTCCCACCCTCCTCCCCACGCTCCCCGTGGATCAGCACCCCGCTTCCCAGCGCCGCCGCCGCCTTCCCCGCACCCGCGCCCGCTCCCGCGCCGCCCTCCCTCCCTCCCTCCCCTCCGATCCCCTCCCGCTCTCCCGCACCGCTCCCCGCTCCCCGCCGCCCCCATCCCGCACCCCGGGGCCGGGCGGTTCCGCTCCGCGAGGGGGCGGCCGGCGCAGGTCGCGGCGCTGCCCGGGGGCGTTGGGGGCCCCTCCATCTTTGCGCCGCCGCCCGCCTCCCTCCCTCCCTCGTCATTGTCTGCGAGCGGCGGCGGCGCGGCGCTTATAAGGCGGCGGGCATTGCCCGGATGTGAGCGGCTCGCGATGTGTCCTGCGGGGAAGCGTGCCATTAGCCGTGTCTCCGCGGGGGAGGCCGCGGGGATGAGGAGGAGAGCGCTGTAAACTTGGAGCAACTTTGGGACTGTGGGTGTCGTGGTGCTGCTTGCTTGCTTTCCTTTTTTTTTTTTTAAATTTATTTTTTTTAATTTTAAGGTGGTCCCAGAGAGCCGCCGGCCGAGCGGTGTCCGTCACCGCGTGTGTGTAAAAACAATAGGGGAAAAGTTGTCGGACCTGCTCTCCTCGCTGTTATTTTTCATCATTTTCTATTTTCCATCCTTTTTATTTTCGTTTTTTATCATCTTTTTTTTTTTTTACTATTTCATTTTTTTTTACTAATTTTTTTTGTACTCCTTTACTTTTTCTTTTATTTATTATCGTTGCTGTTATTTGTTGTTATTTTTTTTAACTTCTCGCTTTATTCCTACATCTTTTCCCCTACTCGGGTGACCCCACAGCAAAATGCCGAGGCGCCCGGCGCAGCACTTTCTGTTAGCTGTATGACATAATAAAGCACTTCGTGCAGAAGATTTCATTTTGTAATTTTTTTCCATATTTTTTTTTTAAGTCACATTTTTCCCTTTTTTTTTTTTTTTTTTTTTTTTGTGTGTGTGTGTGTGTGTGTTTCCCTTGGAATATTGTGAACATAATTGTGGCCATTTAAGGTAAAGTTACAATTCGCTCTTAGAGTAACTCGTGCGCATTTTTAAATTTTTAATTTTTTTTTTTAATTTTTTTTTTCGCTTTTTTGAATGACGGATCCCAGTGTGCCGCCGGCCCGACTTGCGCGGGGCGCGCACGCAAAGCGCGCGTTGTGCGGCCGCACAATGAGCCCCGCGCCCTCCCGCAGGAGGAAGTTTCGCCGGGCCAAAACCGTGCAAAAAAACGTGCAATAAAGTGCTGGGGGCGG